TTGACGGCAGCCAAGAAGTTATTTAGACTTTCTCAAACAAAGCTGCATGGATAACTACCAAAGACAAATGATATACGTAATTATAATGCACCTTTGGAAAAATATATTTCTTCACAATGAAATACTTCTGTGCAACAAATTCCATTCACTCACCAAACTGTCTACTTTAATCATAAACCGCTACATATATATCTTCATAATTACAGTACAAAATATTTCAAAAAGTTACGTACACAACAAACCCTACAACAACCATATTTCCTTTAATATCACTGTACACGACATCACACCTTTCCTAACTGTTAAGTGAACATAACAAAAAAGGTCTATGATGATGCATACAACTACTATAACTTCAAACGTTTTTCTTTATGCTCAATACACATAACAACACACAACCTCCACCCACCGACAGCACTTAAACATTGCCAGCTATTGTCAAGTGGGCTATTGCATCTTTGATGCTCTCGTTCCTCAAATAGAATTGTGTATGATTTTTAGCCTAGCTTGTTCTTATTTTTGAACAATATCTATTGTTGTTCCATGCTTACTCTAAGACATTCAATAGATCATCATGAGTATCTCATCATGGAGTTTACAACTTGCAAAAAAATTTGCTACTTCAAATGCCATGAGGTATGTAGTTCAATAAATATTATATATAGGTATTATATTGTTGTATTCAGTATTTTTTTTTTTTTATTTCACCAAATGAAGATTAAAGGACAAATTCAAGGGTGGTGGGGAGACCAATTCATGAGCTGTGCTCGTACAAAACAATTGGCCACCTTAACAAGAAAAAGAAAAAAGAACAAACACAGACGAAACAGGACGAACAAGCATATTAAGCAAGAAAAAACAAGATATACCAAGGTGATGAATAGCTTAAAGTCGTAAATAAAAAAAAGTGGTTTTGAAAATAAATTTAAAAAGCTTAAAATATCCTGAAGAATCTCTCCTTTACTCTCAGAATAAAAAAATAAAAAATTTAAGATAAAAGTAAGGCATAGTATTAAGCTCTTATCTAAACCAACGAAACATTCCTTTATAGCCGATGTATGAAAAAAGTGTCTCTGGCCAAATTCATGCCCTCCTCTCGCTATCATGTGGGTATCCCGCAGTAGATCTACAATTTATAAAACTATATGTCAAAACTTAGATTACAAATTAGGCATCTCAAGTAAGAAAATGAAATTGTCTTCTTTCATAAATTAGTTTGAGAACCTTAGGTCACATGGAACTAATGTAATGGTTCACATGTAAAATGTGTGTATGAGATGTGCAACCAAAGGAGGTCAGCATATTTGTAAACAAATAGGCTCCGAAACGGTGCATCGCGGCAGGTATGCATTGTGCTCGATAGTTGCTGGTGGACATGCAATTGTGCAAGAAATGTTTGTTTTTTCGGTTAGATGAAAAAATGTAAGCTGTATTCGATAAAACATATACCCCCTACCACCAGTTTTGAGTCGTTTTTTAGTCGAAAATTTGATTTGCGCATGCGTCAGGTCAAACTTTCCCGACATTTTTGTTTCTGTCGTGAGCTGCCTAGAAAAGTTCTTTATGTTGTTTTCGCGACTGTCAGTAAACATTGAGCAAGCTGAGATAGTTGTGGCATATCGGCCACTTACCTGTGCTATTATTTGAAGGTGTTCTGTATTAGTGTTTTATATTTTAACGGCTAAGATTGACAGACCTGGTGTACCTAGGCCTAGACACATACGTAATGTAGACTTCTCTTCGGGCGACACCGTTGGACCTGGTGTAGGCCTAGACACATCTGATATACTATACCGTTACGTAAAGTAGGTTTCTTGGCCTACCACCTGCCTACCGTTAAGCAATAAAAATCAACATTTGTGGAATTATTTTTCAAGAAATGATGGTTAAAAATTCTGGACACATAAATATGCAGCATGTGATGGA